TAATACAGAGTCGAAATATATACATTTTTGTTAGTGTCGCATTAGCAGGTAGGAGATTTCTACAATGTCAAGTTGATGAAGATTTAGGACGAAACTTGTCGAGAGGTACAGTCCCCTCAAATCCTAGGCTACCTATTCATTGATGGCGTGTGAAGATATTGGTGAGTTTTTTTATAGTTGGTTAATTTTCCCGACAGGGTGAGAAGATAATAGGGTTGTTCGGGATCTTGTGCAAATACTCTTTGATTTACATTTGCATTTGCAATTTACAAACACACGAACTCGTAAAGAAATTTCTGTACGAAAAATAATGAAAATTCTGTAAAAATTCGGAAATATATTCTTCACATAGCACCATTACCCTGCAAACCATTTTTACAGAGTATTCTGAATCGTAAAGAATTTTTAAAGAATTCGGAAAGATCCCATCCGATTTTTTGCGGAATTTTCTAAAATTAAATAAATTACGCACACTTCTATTCTTTTACGAAATTTCGGAAGAAAATCGGTAAAGAAATGAAAATAATGCTGCTATGTGAAGAATTTCTTGCAGACTTTTTTCAGAATTTTTTTTTATTTTTCGTTCAGAAATTTCTTTACGAGTTCGTGTCAACCACTTCATATAATTTTCTTTGAAGATTCGGAAAAAAATCGTTACAGAAATCAGATACTCCTAAAAATTTCGTTAAGATTTCGGGAACTTTGGTTTGCAGGGTATTTTCATTGCTTCACAGATTTTCTTCCGAGATTTCGTAAAAGAATGGAAGTGTGCGTAATTTATTTCATTTTAGAAAATTCGGCAAAAAATCGAATTAAATCTTAACGAATTCGTTAAAATTTCTTTACAATGCAGAATACTCTGAAAAAATGGTTTGCAGGGTTACGAAATCTCGGAAGAAAATCTGTGAAGCAACGAAAATAATGGTGCTATGTGAAGAATATCTTTCAGAATTTTTCCAGAATTTTCTATATTTTTCGTACAGAAATTTCTTTACGAGTTCGTGTCAACCACTTCATATAATTTTCTTTGAAAGTTCGTAAAAAAATCGTTACAGAAATGAGATACTCCTAACGATTTCCTTAAACTTTGCTTTGCATGGTTGTTTGAAAAATGTTAAATTAAACAAAAAAAAACACTGGGATAATTTCAAAAAACGTACCAAGTATTGCAACAACTACCCTATACAGCCGAAAGGAATTGCCAATGCACTTAACCACTGACCTTTCCATTGAACTTGAGAATTAAAACTGACGTCATAGAACTATCCTCTCCGAAGCAAAGCTCACCAAACATTTGAGAGTACACAAAATGCAGGTATACATATGTGCATATGTATATATGTACATATAGTAGATATCGGTGTCATCAACAACATGCATGCGTATATGTACTATACATATGTATATGTAGTATGTATGTATGTATGCCTGCATACGTTTGTAATCAAAAAAGTTCAGCACTTTCACTTTCTTTCGGAAGCGTCGCTCACAGCGCGCCCATAGCAAATATTTTAGAGGGCAGTGAGTATGCCGAGAGTACATTGTTTGTACATACATACGCATGTACGTTGACCCACCAGAAGGTGTGTTTGCTTAGTATTCATTGCCTTTTGTAAAAATGGGCGATTTCCAAGCACTTGCCGGTACCCCGGTTCAAGACTTTGTACATATCCAACCATATTACATACATATACTATATGTATATATGTATGTAAGTATGTTTGTTAGGGCCAAATCTTGCAATAAATTATCTAGAGACTTGAAACTTCACAGGTGGCTCAGAACCCGATGACAATGCAATACGAAAGATGAATTATGTAATCCGATAGCGGACGCAGGAGTAGAGATATTTGGTAAACCAGTGTTTGTGCTCCGATTTCGTTCATATTTAGAAAGCTTGTTTTTAAAATATGTTTTTTTACTATAAACTTATTTATTTTTTATTTTTTGATGTTCATTAATTTTTTTTTTATATAAGAATAGCTTCATTATCTTACAGAAATCTTATACATACATATATCCAATTTCAAACTTTGTACAAAAATTAGAAAAAAACTTCCACAAAATTTCACTTAAATTCCAAGTTTTTTCATTGGACTTTGTTGAAATTTTTTTAATATGTAGTTTTATGGCTTAATACATTTTTAGTATGTATAATAAAGTGCAAGTTTGAAATAGCTAAAATATCGCTAGAATTAAATTTTTGTTTTATCATGCAACCGTTATATCAAGAAATAATGAACAAAAAAAATTAAAAGTTTCAAAAATTAACTCAAAAGCCAATGAACTGCATAGTTTGTAGCTTTGATCACTTGACTACTCGTTGAACGCTATCGAAAAATTCTTTCGCATTTACATAAATAAAATTCCTTGCCGATTAGAAAGTGCTGGCCTAATTTTGTTTACAAATTTTAGAATTTATTGCGCTTAACGCGATTAAACTTGATTTCCGACTGCCTCCAATGCCCAGCTTATCAGCGCTTGTGGCGATTTGATTAAATAATTTTCACCTTGTTTTCTTTTGGGTTTTGTTGGTTTTTTTCTGTAGTATTTAAAAACAAAAAATTAAGTTCATTTGGTCAAAAAGATGTATTTACATATGTATGTACGTGCGTATATGTTTTTACGTAGGTATGTAGGTGTATAAACATATTCAATTCGGTTGCACGATGTTAACGAAAAGCATAAGGAGCGCAAAAACAGCACTTTAAACGTACCGCGTATTTATTTAGCAAATTTTTTTTTTGTATTATTTTAGTTATATGTACATACATATTATGTATATAAATAGAAAATACTTTTAATTCAGTAGCAAATGTCACTGCACTTTTCTGGCGAGACGCACAGACATAGGTATGTATGTATATTTCGCAACATTTCACACAGTTCGCAAACTTCCTTTTGCGATTTCGAGATTCACTATATGTATGCCCACACACTTACTTCTCTTTCTCTTTTAAAATATTTTTATAAAAATTTTTTTATTTCTCCACGGGCTTTTTTCTTCACAACTAAACTAAAATGTTTATGCAATGCACTCATTCAACCAAGTACCGCATGTTTAGTAAAAAAATTTATGTATATATGTACATATTTTTGTTTTAAAATAAAAATGTATGCAAGCGGAACGATTACTTTACCCAAAAAAATTTGTGACTTAACTGACTTCTTGTGTTGGCTTATTGGCTGGCACAGCGGCGAAAAACTGCCTGTGCGTACTACAATAAAATTTACTCTGTAAAAATTCACAACTTCAAGGTGACCTCTTTGAATAGAATCGCCGCACAGCTGATAGCTGATTACCTCCGCCGACTGCTCGACTGTTGTTTGCCCGTATGCCTGCCTGGCTGGTGGCGCTGCAATCGCTGTTGATGGCCTGTAGTGGCTGTGAAGTGTTGTTGTTTGGGGTGTGCGCCAGCTCGCCTCACATGTAGCCAAAACACGGTATGAGTACACATCAGCAACTAGCTCTCCCCATTCGTGTGCTCGTGATACAAAAGTATGTATGTATATACATACATACATATATACATACAACGAGTTTTGTTGCTGGATGGAGAAAAGCCGGTCCACGTTTTATTTGGTGGTAGTTTGTTTACATCGCTGATGTGAGTGTGTGGGTTTGCCGGCAACAAATCGGGTATACTTTTTCTTGTATATGCATTAGGGCTGAAATAATCCTGAACCCTTAAAGAAATATTTAAATTCCTTAAAGAAATATGATTTTATGAACTAAAAACAGCTTAAAATAACTTCTTCAAAAGGCCTTCGAAGAAGGTTCTACAAAGCCCTTCTTTAAGCTCTTCTTTGAGTAGCGAAAGCAGAAGCCCTTCAATTTGTGCCACTCCGTATAAAAAAGGAAGGAGAAAGGAATGCCTTTCGAAAAGGTCTTTTGGAAGAGATTTAGTATGTGTGACCCCTCAACCGTGTACCTGTTCAGGAACTTGCACTTTTTTAGCATTTGCTTGAAGATACAAAATTAGATTTTAACCAAATAAACTAAACAGAAATAAGGTAAACTCACCACATATTAGAAAACATGTTTCATTATCGATTTTCAACTACTAATGATTTTTTTCCAAAACAAAAATGTGTTCGCATTTTCATCAACTTTTACACTTTATCCTCTTTTTTCTGATGACCTGTAAAATATTTCAGTAATATTCATATTTTACGTAGTTGTATTAATAGTTATATTAGTTAATTTGTATACTTTATTCGTCGAAAACTTTCTACTCGATACGACTCGACTCTCGAAAAACGACTTGCACTCGACACGACACTCTCAATTAGGCTGAATATATTTGGCCGCTGAAATAAAACGAATTTAAAATTAAGAAATAAATTTGGAGAAACGAATGAAAACAGAGAAGGAATTTGGTCACAACTACCATCAATTAGGACATGCCATGACACCACCTACCCAACTGTAAGTCCAGGCCTTTACCGAAGAGTTCTATATTAGTTATTCGTGTCGAGTCACGACTTGCCGCCACCTTTGAAATGAAAATCTTCGCTTGTAAATAAGCATTATACTTGCTAGTTCTTTTCATGTATGCTTTGGGTGCAACAGGGTCAGCTTGCTCATCAGCATGATGGTAAGCTACTTAATATTGATCTTTAGGTGACATCAGATGGTGTCCTGTGCCCTGTCTAGCAGCTTTGAAGTTTCTACCAGCCGCTGGCGACCATACAGGCTTGGCATAATTTACAACGCTTGTAGTGCCACCGACCGAATGCTTAAGTTCAGCTTAATCTCCTTCGTCCTTACCACCTGGAATGTCGAAGCTGACTTCGTAGGTTAGATTACGCATAGTAGAGAAGCTAGAAAGGTCTGAGAAATAACCATTCGCTATGAAACACAAGTCATCAGTGTCCCAGTGCCGGACCCAAGCTGTTTTGAACAGTGCCTGGAGTTAATACCTATAGGAACAGCGGAATCTATGCACAAAAACGAATTCAGCGAAATATTTCTTTGTGTCAGTAATTAAAAGAACGGCTACATTTTCCAATTGTGACATAAATCTTAATTCCACTCTTTATTCCTTTCTGCTACAAGTTGTGTTTATAATAATAGCTCCTTGAAGCTTGCGTATATGTCTTATGTATCGTATCAATAGATATACTATAGTTTTTGAGTCTACATACATATCGCAAACGTTCTTCAAAAGTATAGTTTATTAATTCAATATTTACTTTCTATCAAAAGCAGAAACAGTTTAATTGCAATTTGTTGCAAAAAACGACTGTAGTCTCTCTTGCTCGTTCCACTAACGATTAATTAATAAACTGTATGATCTATAAAAAATCTATAACTTAATACATTTTGGAAAACGTTGGCAATACGTACCCATACATATATGTATATATGCATGTATGTATGTAGTTTTTTTTTGTGTATGCTAAAATGTATATATTTTTTGTAACATTTGCTTTTATTGAACTATATTTTTTTATAATTAAATACTTAAATGGTAAGATGTTGGTTGGCACCCAACGCACTCGAATATTTTTCACCAAACATTTTATTTAACTTTTAGTGAAAAAAAAACGTCAACAATAAACTAAATTAACGGTATAATTGTTATTGTTATTTTTACTTTTTGAATTAGGCGACTAAATACATAGATACATATATAAACATTTAGGCTCACTCGATTCTTAGGCATCGTTGCGAATCATTTGCAGTTAAATACTACAATATTATATACATACATACACAAAAATATAAGTCAACTCACAATATAATAGTTATTACTCTAAGAATATTTGGCTAAATAGTTTTATATGTACATATGTATATGTTTGCATGTAAGTGTAATTGAAAATTTGAAAAAATATATCCTTGTATATATGTATATATGTAAAGCACCAGCGCTAGCACTATTCATTTACAGAAAACATATGTAGGCGAATTTGCTATCTAAAAAATAAAAGGTATTGTGACAATTTCGCTGAACACTATTTGCGCTTCGCGCGCTCTTCCTAAGTTGGCTACGTGATTGTGAACCTTCTTTTTGCGACGTTTTTGCCTGCTTTGCTGCGAAGATTTTAAACACACACAGCCTAACTCCTATTTACCAATTTCAAGTAGACATCCCACACGACCGCCGTCAGTCGGCAGGTGAACAGAGGCCCTAATGTTGCTCTCATTTGTGTACAGTGAATACTAACGGTGCGGATTCATCCTCCTGCAAGTGCTCAGCGAGTATAATTTTGTTTGCGGTGCGCGTCGGCACTTGGCTCTCGATATCCTCGTAGTCCACCGAGGAAGAGCGCACTAATTTGAATTGTGACCCCTTGTTGTCGTTCTTTGTGATGACCAGCGAGGCAGGACGCGGACCTGACACCGGAAAGTATAAAATATAAAGTTAAATATTCGTATGGAAACTTTTTTTTTTTTTTTACAAAATGTTCTCATTAGTACCTGTTGTCGTTTTACTAGGCCGACGCTCCAGCGTCGTCGAACCGCTTGATGGCAACGTTGAGGCAGACGATGACAGCGACGAGGCTTTCTCGGAGATGTATTCTAGATTTGAAGTCATTTGCAACTTATTGCCGCTGCTCTTCTGGCTGCCCGGTTTGATGCTGACTCGCTTATCAGTTTTCACGCTGTTCTGGTGTTTCAGTATGGAGTCGCGTCGTTGTGCGATTGGTGACGCTGGCGGCATTGTGGCGTTATTAGGCATTTGCAGCTCAGAATCTATGAATATAATTAAAGGTAGGCATGCATACGTACAGTAGATAAATTAAGTATGTGTCCAAGTAGGCATTCTTAAAACTAAAATTTGCAAATCATTTCTAACACACAGAATGTTTTTGAAAATAAAGTTTTAGATATGAAAGGTTTCACAAGCATAATCAGAGTTGATGCCTAACGGAGACCATTCTAAAAACTTGAAAAATGCCAAATTCTACGGCGATTTTAACATAATAAGTTTAAGAGCCATTAATTTTAAAAGTAATCTTAATTCTAAGAACCAACAGCAAGTGTTATTTACAAACACAGTGTGTACATATAACTCTCATTTTTTAAACCCTTTCCGCATTCTGTGTACTTTTGTAACCGGCAAATTTTGTTACCATCTCATAAGCTGGTAACAAAGTATTGCCCCGTGAAATATGCAATGCCAGAATTTCCACAATTCTTCATAGCTGAATTGCTGAATGTTTTAACTGCATTACCAACGTACCTAGAATCGCGGTGACAAGAGCTGGTAACATTTTTTGGTAATAAAATTTTCCAGTTACAAAATTTTCGGTAACATGCAGAATAGACCTGTAAATGGTTCGTAATTTTCCAACGTTTCCATTCGCTTTAACTACTTCGTTCGATTTCGTCTCGCTTCTTTTAGAATTTTTCTTATTTTTTTTTTTTTAATTCACCTTATAAAATGGCTGGATTTGTTCGAGTTAAATTAGGTTTATTGATAATTTAGATAACGATTACAGCTGCTAGTTTCCGCTAGTCAAGGGCCAGATCCCTCTATGGACTAAAAAAATATAAAAATTTATTTTTTTTTTCATTTAGTACCCCAAATTATAGTTGCTTAAGACGTCTTCATAGGGGAATCTGAACTTTGACCCCTGTGCGACACGCCTTAACCGACTTCAATCGGGGCCAATATTTATATGTGATATCTTCGACTATAGTAGCATCGAGGTATGGGTTAAGGCTTAGAAAATCTAATGTAAAAATACCCTAATATACATACAGTGGCCAAAATATAAACTGGAACGTGGCATTTTTGCATGTTTTGGAAAAATGCGTAACACCGTGAACAAAAAAAATAATTATCGAAAATCAACGGTACGGTACCTCTTAGCTACTTCAACTTACACTTCAGTTACATCACCCACATTTTTATTTACAGATGGATTACATTAAAATTACAATAAAATACCCAAAACGTAAAATTATCTCTTAAGAGAAGATTCAATACAAAACATAAAAATCCTACACCCATACAAACATACCCAATAAACATTAGGCTTGGTTAACAATTCGAATATGATTGGAAAGCAAACCATCGTTATGCAATGTATTTTCGTTAAGAATACAAAATCCAGCCCATTATCGATTTGAATAATTAATGAGAGAGAGAGTGATTTTCTAATATTTCCCATCGAGAATGAGCTGGATTTCACTTTCCCTCTTTCCCTCTTGCTATGGTTTTAATTTGTTTTTTTTTTCGAACCCATCTCGAGTGTATTTCCAATATACTATGAACGTTGGAAAACTTAGCTTGGTTATGGTTGGTTCGTTTTTAGTTCGATATGCATATTTACGGTGACCATCCGTCCTTTATTTTAAAGGACAGTCCTTTATTTTAACCCCCTGTCCTTTATAATTTTTTTCAAAATAAAGGACGCCTTTTGTTCTTTATTTCTTAAACTGTCCTTTAAATCGGCTCTTCATTTCTCAGAAGTAAATTTTAAACGCAGAATATGAAAAAAAATGTCCCTTATAAAATATAATGAAAATCTTCGTCGCACCCCACTTAAGGGTTTCTATTTAATCGGTAGTCTTTGTACAATCTATAAAGCATAGGGAAAGTTGTGCCCAGGATCGTGTTGCACGCTGAGTTTAAAGTTCCATTGAAACCATCAAAACTGGAATTTAGTGTTCTTAATTCACTGGAGCCTTAATTTTTAACTTAATTTGATGAATTTTTATTTTTTCATGAAAGCTTAAGATATTTGCAAGATACCAGTTGAGCCTGATTTCTGAACTTTTATTTGATAATATTAAATTTTTAAGTGCAAAATACAGATAAAGTAGCAATTTTGAAGAAAATGTATTCTCCTGTTCCAGTTAATAAATGTTACATAAAACAAACTAGTTGAAAACAATTGTATGGTTCTCCCTAAACAAAAAAAAAAACACAAAAAAATATGGAAATGTTATAAAAAAAATTTCACTGAAGTAAATATTTTTTTTTTGGTTTTTAGTAAAAATTGGTTGAAAAATGAAGGCTCCGGTGCATTATGAACATTAAATTCCAAATTTGAACCACTGTGTGCGGCTTCGTCGTGCAGTATGAATTATGGTAGACGCATTTTGGTAGCAAAGGCTGGCGAAGTCTTTGAAAAGGATTTTGTTTAATTTTTCGCTACAGTAGGGAAACGTGTACAATTAAATAATATAATTAACTGGTGAATATTTGATTTAAATTACGTTATGGGTAAGGTACCTTTCTCATACAAGTTGTATGTACGTATTCCCAAATCATTTTGAAAAAAAATGTCCTTTATTTTACGTTGGTTAACATGGTCACCGTATGCATATTGGATATCGACGGTGATTTTCGAACGTTCGCCAAAATGTTTATAGGGTATGTACATACATACATACATACGTACATACATATAGATAAAATGCAAAGCTCTAACTAAAAGAACATGCATGCAACTGTCCTGGGAGAAGTAATAGCAAAAAGTATGGACATAAATTGGTGCAAATGCCGCTATGACAGTAACAATATCTACATAGATACATCGTCACTAGACACGAATAAAGACCGCGAGCTTCAGTCAGCCGTCTGAACTGGGCTAACGCCTTTTTTGTCGCCAATGCCTCCTTTTTCGCCGTCAAAACAATGGTGCGCCTTTATTCGTGTCTAGCGA